AGTCTATTCGCAGACAGTTTCCGGAAGCCGGTAATGCAAACTAGCACGCAGACAATAAAAACGGCTCAAGATGACTCCAAAACACAGGAAATTAAGCCTATCTATGATTTTTATTTGCAGTGCTTAGTATACACATGGTTTCACACAGAAAAGCAAATGTCAACATGTAACAGTGATACAGCTTAACTCAGTTAGCAATGCAATACTGTTTTATTTGATCATCGTTCAATTATCATACAGATTAATAAAATCAGAAAATATATAATTAGTTTGCCTAATTAGTTCCTATTTACCTTTTTTCTTATTTTAAGTTTTTCTATGAAAACGTTATTGCAATTGGGTATATAATCATTTAATATATATCTGTTATGACGAACTCACTCGAACATGATATTTCCCTGGTGCTTTTGGAACCTTGACTTTTCTTGTGGCACAGTGGGGCTTGCAGTGGAGATCATACCCCGCGTTAATGTACAGTCGCTTGAACCAACCTGGCGTGAAAGTAGACTTGTCGAATACCTCTTGAAAAATAGATATCCTTCAAGCAATATTTGTAACAACCTTTCACAAAGGTGAGGATAAAAAATGTCTTAAGTCAGAAAATAAGCCATTATTGTGATCAATAATAGAAGTTTTCCTTAAGCCGATCCGGGAGATTGGCCGACATCTGCGGTGGGTTCTGTCCACCTTCACCAATACCGGTTGTATACTGTGAAATTTAATATTTACATTCGTTCAAAATGGGTTTCGGGGGGGCTTCATTTCGGGGAGGAACGGAGGGGAGGGAGGGGGATATGTATCAAGAGGAGGGGTAGTGGCTCATCATTGGAGGGCACTTTGCCTCCGAGCTGTAGTGTTAAGGTTTTGGGGGAGGGGGAGGAGGAGCAGGTTTTTTGAAATTCTTGGTAGGTATCTTACTGAACTTCTGCTCACGCGGAACGTTCAGTCCATGCCGCCTAATTATAAGAAACTTTTAAACAAACAAACTTGCAAATACTAGTACTAAAAAAACAAAACTCAAAACCGGACAGTTAGCCGATTTATAGGGACTGTTTTTTATCGTGAACTGAAAGGTATGCTAGGAGAAGGATCGCTCCCCATACCGAGCCACACGGAACGATGCTTCGAAGGGTTCCTCCATATAAA